TAAGAAGGTAAAGATATTCCAAACTTCTGAAAACAAATGCACATTAAGAGTGGCTTTATGTCATTGAAAAATACATTAATAAAGTAAGAGAAGACAGTGATTTCTGATTAATCCTCTTTCTATAGGTAGCCAGTGGACTATTTTAGACAACATCCAAAATCTACAGGAAGTTCTAACTTAGTGAAAAAGTCACTGAAAATAAGTACATGTTTCAAGGACACTTTTAAAATCTTATTTCATGCTTAAATTACAGAGTGATTTAAGCACAATCTAATATGTTAATGTGAGTTTTTTAATATTAATGCCCATTTAACATTAATACACAGATTCATATAAACATGTATTAAGTATATTTCTTATGTTGGCAAAAGTATGGTAGATAAGGATCTCTATCCTGATTTTTTTAAATTAGCTGCTACTTGGCATGCTAATTTTATTTGATCTAATATGTCTTTGCATGAACTATTACTAGCAATGAGTTTAAGCTGACATAAAAAAATTAAATGTTCATCCCTTCATGATAATAAACAGAAGACTGTAAGCATTGTTTTTGCTTTTGTATGGTGTCTTCAACACTGGGAGTTCTAGTCCTGCAAATCTGTTAGTATAAAACTATATTTTGCCCATAGTCCTTTCCCTTCTCTCCAGCTTAGTTTTGCTTGCTGTTGTCTTAACTTGTTGGGATTTAGGTTTTTGTGGTGGTGTGTGTGTGGGTGTTTGTTTTTAAAATGCAAAGCCCAAAATAGTCTAAACTCTGACATCCTGTGGTTTTTTCCTTGGTATCTTTGGTTCAAAATTTCCTAGTTCAACAACTTAAGTGTTTACACGCAACACTCTGCACTATTTTTTTTTTTTCTTCTGTGTATGCATGTTTTCATTTAATTATTCTTTTCCAAGTGTTATTTTGTTTTCACTCTATTGTCAAATATTAATGTGAAGATTAGTAAAACTTTAGTTTCCACATTCTTGTTTCCACAGATTTACTGAACAGTTGCTATGCTAGAACAATGTTAAGATGCACTTTCAACTCTGAAATGAGAGTGCATGTGCAGGTGGATGGCACCTCTTAGCTACCTTCATTTCAAAACAACTCAGTTAAATTGCAGTACTTTGTTTACCCTGGATGTTAATCTGTCAGATACTGAATCTATGGGTTCTATTTTGTCAACTCCCAGAAAGAAAGTGGCGTAATATTTGCAGAAGGAACATGGCGCTGCTTACTCTACACCAAACTTCTTTTTTGAATGACCTCACTAGTTTACTAAGTTAAGCACCTTTTCCCTTTGTGCGTTATAACCTAAATGTATTCAAGGATGTATCCCAGAGTAATACTTCCCCTGCCCTACCGCCTCCCATGGGATCCCTTGTAGAAGCAAGTTTGTTCATGTTCAGAGGGCGAGGTTTTTGCTTTGTTTTTTAAATACTTAGCCGCTTAGCTTATAGTTAAGCTAGGCTAGAGATCGCTGCTGTCAGATACAGAGTTGTTTGGGGTTTTTTTGTAGTATTTTCAAGGTTATTAAGGTCCATTAAGGTTTGTGAAGAATTTCAAGAATAGTTAATTTCTGTTGAGAAATAAGATTATGCATGGAAATTAGGGTTTGTCCAGTGCGACACTGTAACAAGGATAAGGACTTGGGATAAGTATTTCTATGATTTTTCTTCTCAGCAGGTAGTATTCTTTTTATGGAGTACTGTATTTAATATTTACTGCATCTGTTGTTTCTATTTTAATTAATAATTATGTAGTATTGTTATGAATCAGATTTCAAGCAGCTACTTGAGCACCCAGGAAACCTGGTTTGAAAGTTAAAGGTTTGAAACTTGACTGAAAACTATTAAAGGTTTGAAACTTGAGTGACAACTAAACTAGTTTCATATGACTCTGCAGTAGATGACAGTTTCCTGGTATTAACCTATATTTGTCTTTATACTAAACGGTTTTTTTGTTCTCAAGGGAAATATGCAAAAAAGTTAGAAATGTTACCTTTTTTAAGCAAACTGATTTGGATATAAAGAAAAAGAAATACAGAGCCATAATGTACCAGTGTATTCTTTCAAGTTTAATGAGAGTAATCTAATTACCAGCTGGCTACATTAAATCTTTCTTGTAGTCTTCCTAACTGCTTGTCCTATCTTAATAGTGTAAGATGGAGCAGGGTCACTGGCTTAATTTCTTTCTGGTCTTTTTCAAGCACATTGTGGTTTTGGTTTTTTTGAGTAGTAGATTAGAAACTACTAATAGTAGTGGGCAATAAATAATAACCTTACAGGTTTTTTTTTTTCTGCACATGTACTTCCTTCAAAATACAAACTTCCAACGTAACCTTCTTTTAGTGGTAAGCCTAAATGATTTACTAATCTATTTGGTGGTATATGGTATTTTGAAGTATTTTAACTGTGACACTGTGATTATTTTTTTTTAAAGTTTATTTGCTAGATGTAATTACATGGCAAATGCCACTCAGAACCGTGTTTAAAGGAATGCACAATTTATTGTCTGTTTTTTGAACACTGTATGGACCTCCATTCTCGACAGTAATGTTCACACTCTAGCTTTGAGATCTCTTCTTGATAATGCTAGGCTCTGCATAGAAATAATATCCTTTTAGGCCATCATTTCCTCCCTTATGGTTGTAACTTGACTTCAGAATGTCTGTATATAGGCTCAGGTGGAGACATTTGACTCTTAAGACAGCATACCTTGAGGAAAAAGCCCATATTATTTAAGCAAGAAATGTTTGTCTGGATTTCAGTTAGCCTGTAGGCTGCATTTTGGATCATGCTTAGAATTTTGTTTTCTTTGAGTTCATAACATTCAAACCAGCTGCATATAGCTGACTACTTTTCATCATGATATTCTGTCATGTGTTCTGCTTAGTACTAGGCAGATTGCTCCGCCCTAGTGGAGTGTAGATAAAAAGCTCTGGTCAGTAACGCATTCTTAGTTGCATGCGTAGGTTGTAGTATTCATATACTTAGCGAATAGGCATTTTCACTTTTGTCTTTTGCAAATTTATCCTGTAAAATTTTACAAACACAAAGGGACACTCTGTAGTCTCCATACAACCAACAGAAAAGAGATTCAGGCAGTGATTCGTTAGCAACATAGGTGTCATAGATAAGGGAGGGGAACAGTTGAGAGGTTTTTTTAAACTTTTTTTTTTTTGATATCTCATGTTGATTTTATGAAAATGTGTAAGATAGAAAGCAAATGGAGTTGAAAAAATAATTGAGAGAGAGTGAAGTATTTGCCTGTAGCTGTAAACAGGGGTAAAGGTAAATGACTGTAAGATTTGTGTTGTTATGTGAAGTATGTGTTGGTTTTTATTGCAGTGAGGAGGACATGTATCGTGATGCAGAAGAAATAGAGAGGGAGAAAATATTACTTTCTGAGACAAGCTCTTCAGGTACGTTTGAACTTTCTGTGGTGTTTCAAGTACAGTATTACAATTCATTGTAGCACTAATTTGTGATGATTTGACACCTTCGTTTCTAAGGATTTTTGTGCACAGGTATCTCTGTGTGCAATAGAAGTTACTTATGACTGAGTACATTGTACAGTTTAATTCACAAAAAGATCAATTTTATGTAAAACTAGTTGCTCTTAGTATATTTTTTTTCCTGTGTTTCTATAGTTACAAAAGAATGCAAATCCTTTGGAAAACTGTCATATAGCCTATGTTCCGAGTGTTTTGATTAAAAATTACTGATTTATAGTCATTATAGCAGCATCTGTGGCTGGGATCCCTTGATAACCTTAGTGCTATCTGTTTCGGAATGAAGACTGTTGGGATTCCAAGAGGAAACTATTTCTTCTCTCTACCATGCTTTCCAGCTTACTCAGAAAGATCTGTTATCTTTCTCCCTTATAGTCTGGCAGCTGAAAGAAGAAGAGAAACTTTTGTCAAATATTTTTCTGATTGCTAAGAAAATGATGAGTACTTTACTAATTTCTACTCTTTGCCAATTAATATTTTGCAGAAGAGAGGAGCAGATAATTCTCTATTTTGTTGGATTACATCATCATTTTTGTTCACTTGTCATTTTCAGAACAAGCTGGGGTTTTTTTTCCCCTCTGATGCTAATAGTTACTTAGTAGCTATAGGTTGTGCTGCCAATCTCCTTTGGCACCAATGTTATTTTAAAGTGATAGTGTCTATTTGTAAATTCAATGCTTTTTCTATATTGTCCTGTTTCATGGTTTCTGTATAATGTTACATATTCTGTTTTGACAGAATATAAACTAAGTGTTGCACCTGAAATGGACATCATGGAGTATTGCAGAAAAGAATGGAGAGGAAATACACCAGTAGCAAAAAGGATGAGAAAGGTATCAGTTCTCTTTCTGTTGAATTTTCTTGGGCTTTTTGTTTTCATTTGTATGTTTAGTAGGTGATTTCCTGTGGGAGCAATCTTTAAAACAGTAAATGCAGTATCAGTGTTTTCCAGAAGGTGGTTTTGTTCGTACTTGTTAAAAATGTGGTTTTTAGTAAGGCTATTTGTTGATAGTGTAGGGTTTTGATTGACATTGGTCTTCGTTACTGTTTTCAACTGAAGTTTTAAATTTGGTTTGTTACCATAAAATGGTAATTTTGTGGGCTGTTGAAATGGCAGAGCAGATAACCAAACTTTTTGGCAGAAGGCAAATAATGGAAGCTGGTGAATTGCATGATTTTTAAGATGGGTAGCTTTAATGAATAGGCTCAATTTTTCTGAAGTTTTTCCTGAATTCTTATTTTTTGTAGGTTTTAGACTGGTTTTCTTACATTAAGCTTGAGCTAGAATGGTAGAAAATAAAGCATGAGGTTGGTTGAGTTTTTTTTTCTTGTTTTGTTTTTTCAAAATTTAGTGGTATGTATGAGTAAACCTAAAAATACGCTGCATAAATCAAAAGAGCTGTGTGTCACCTTCAAGAGATTAGCAAGAGAAAGACAGATGCACAGGGCATTGGCTCTTGCTAGGTTAGCTGAAGAGAGGTGCTGAGCTTCAGAAGTTACGTTTCAACACTGTTGCTTCTGCTAAAATTGTAGGTATGGGAACTGCAGGGAGGGGACAAATCTGCTGAGGCATGTGTCAGGATATATCAGTGTAAACACAAATTTTCCTAGAGGCAGAAACAAACTACGTGTGACACGTATTGGGTAAATAGCATAAGCGATTGCTGAAACTTCTTGTAAGCATGGTACATTTTTAGATTTATAGTCTTGTGTGTGTGTGTTTGGATTTTTTTTGAAATGTGAGTTAGCTACCCACGTTTCGATGATACTTATTCTGTGTCATCAGATAAACACCACAACCAATTACCTACTTAATTTCTTTAGTTTCTTGTTTGTTATTAAGTAGAACTAAGGAAGTTTTTCTCAAAGCATAATTTGTGACGTAAAAGCATTTGGACTTCCAAAACGGGTAGTGAGTCAACCCCCTTTTTTAAAAATAGCATTAGCATTTGGATGCTAATATTCCAATATCTTTTATGATACCAGTGCATGACCTTAAAATGTTTTGTTAATGCTTTCATGTTATTTGGATTTTGTGTTTTTTCTAGGGATATGAAGCAGTTGCTCAGAAGTTTGCATCTATAAGGAGAGTACGAGGTGATAACTATTGTGCTCTCAGAGCAACACTTTTCCAGGCACTAAGCCAAGCTACCCAGTTACCGAGCTGGCTGCAGAGTGAGGATTTTACTATGGTACATGTCGAACTCTGATCTTCTGAGAGTAGAGAAATGTTGGTTCTAACCTATTTGATAATTTTATGATCTCATTTCTGTGTTATGCTGTATATGCTCGCTTCTCAATATCTCTTGAATTGAGAAGTGGTAGTGTTCAGTTTTCTTGTTCATGTACAGTGATTCTTTCAACTTGGAACTGAGTCCAGGTCCCTTTAGTTTCCAGTTTATAATGTATAAATGTTACTATAGTGCTGACTGTAATGTAACTTCTGTGTCTTCATCTTGCCCTCTTAGTTTCTTCTTACTGCATGTAATATGGCAGTAAGAGGTTTCCCACAAGGCAGCTGATAATAACAAAAAATACAGACAACTTATTTTAAGCATATTTGAAAAAAACCCAGCTATTCGAAATTATCATATGTATTCTTCTGTGCCTTATATGGTTTCTCTAGAAAGTGGATTAACATATTGAATGCTGTAGGCTTTTCAGAATGTGTGATTTACCCGTGTCTTACACTTATTTTTTACACTTATTTTAAAAAAAGTGTAAAAAAAAAAAAAAAAAAAAGAAAAAAAGTGTGAAATAAGTGTAAGACTGACATGAAGAACAGTTCTTAGGGAGCATTGATGGATAAGCAAAGCAAGGTCTTCCTAAGAGTGGAAGAAGAATATTCCAGAAATTGTTTTGTGTCAAGAAAGTCCATTTGGTGATATCAGTGAATGTGGAAGAAACATGTAAGAAGCTGCCTATACAAAAGTGGCCCACTTCAAGGGAATAAGGTTCCAGTTGTGCAGGTTGCTGCTGGAAATGTAAATGATGAATGTCTGTTGCAGACTCTGTGTGTAGGCTAGCAATGCAGGTAGAATCACACTGCTCTTATTATCTTTCTCTATAACTTTAGAGACCCTCTTAAAATTTCTCATTGTGGTCACTGTCATTGCTAAGTAAACTTCTGCTGATTATGTTTTTGTAATTACTGATAAAAATGTTTCTATGAAATGTTTCTTACTGCAGCAATACATTGTAAAAAGATTTTCTTTTTATAAAACAAATTCTCTCAGCCGACAACCATCTCCACAGTATCAAACTGTAGAATAGTTTCCAGTGCTCCTTTAAAGAACACGCAAGCTTTTTAAAATCGTGTACTTTGCAGTTTTTAATGATATTCACCTATTTTTCTTCCTACTGTTTTATAAAGGAAAATGTGTCATATGGTAATTAACCTTTATTTTGAAAAAGGTGTACAACTATAAAATGAACTGATTGAAATGATAAACAGTGCGTCAAAGCAGAAGACATGTCAGAGAAATGTGTGTGGTGACAGCTAGCGGTACAATTTTAACAAAGGCTTTTTGTTTTTTTTTTAAATTTAAAACTGTGTTTACATGTATGTTTCTAGTTGTACTGGCATATAGTCTTTGATTATTTAGTTCTATGTGTCTGATTGGCATAGGATGTCAGGCTGGTGTGAGGGAAGGTCTTTGTGTATCTGACAAATATTTGGTTGCCATTAAAGAGAACGTAGTGCTAATTTGGAGTCCTGATAGAATGGAAACTGGCTGGTAATGGCTGATGGCTTATGTGCTGCTCTAGCCAAATACTTGACTCATTGTGAGACACAAGTTGCTCTTCCAGTTCTAGTGGCAAAATGGATTAATAAATGAGGGTAAAAAACTGGGCATGCAGCTGCCAGGATGTCCTTCAAGAGAAGTGTAAAAACTCTTAACTGAGCAGATATAGCATATGAGTAGTAAAAGAAGCAGTCGTGAGGCTAAAGTATGATCTGATGCATCAATTAATCCCCACGTTGTTTTCTTATTTATAAGAAAACCTGTCCCATAGTGTTTTAATTATGTTCTCTGAAAAGTAAATACAGTTTGTGTATTCTGAACAAAGTAGTTTGCACTCCACCGAGACTTCTGGATTATCTGGTGGATGTCATCACATCTTTAACCTGCTCTTCTGTTGATTCAGGTACACTTTCAAACACAGTTATTGTAATCTGCTGCTGGAGGTTTGTTTTTAATTTAGAGAAAACAAAAAAAAAGAAAGAAAAGCCATGAGTAACTTGGGGTGATTAATTTTTCCAGTGCTTATGTACTGATTAGATCTGGAAATAGTAGTAGACCAGTATTCTGACTGTCACCCAGCAAGTACTATAAAGAGCCAGTTGTGTTCAGTTGTGGTCATCTTACTACGACATCTGTTCAGAAGAAAATACGAGGGATTGTTTTAAGATGCAAAATGTTTAAAAGAAAAATTTAATAAAACAATAATGTGCAAGTTGGTGGCTTTTCCTTTCAAGACTTTTAACTTAAGGTCCCTTCTTTTCTCTTGACTTCCAGCTTCCTGAAAACTTGCTGAGCAAGTATGACTGGATCAAACAGTGGCAGCTGAAACAGAAACTGGGCAGGAAGATGGGAGAAATAAGTGATGAAATTAAAGAATATTTAATACTTCTAAGGAAAAAGGTTGGAAAAGTATTTGTTTATTCTTGGTCGCTTGCGAATAAGAAAAATGACAAAGATTTTTGAATGTGGTGAATTTAGCATAAGGATGCTTTCGCTAGTGAAAGTTGCCTTTCTGTATGTATACTGCAAAAAAATCAAGGAAAGAATGTCTGTACAGACCTGTGAGAGTTTTCTGGTCTTTCACTGCTTGCATTAGCCTGATGCTGGATTTGGTTTGTAAGCAGCTCTGCAGAAAACTATTAAACAGGTTTCAGTGAAGAAATTAATGTAAGAGAGTAACATTTTGCCTCTACTTCTTATATTTATTTGAAGGAATGATGTATACTGTGGATAAATGCTGTTGCTACCTTGAGTAGGTCACGGAAAGAAAAAAAAACAAACCACCACCCCCCCCCCAAAAAAAAAAAAAAACACCCACCCAAAAAAACCACCCAGAAACCCCCCAGAATAATGCTGAAGTGATTTCAAAGAAGTAGTTTTTGTTCTACACTTACACATTTCTGTTATGGGATAATGTAACAGGAAGATGACTGTACCCTGTAATAGTGTTCGTACTATAGTACTTAGCCCCCATCCTTCTTCCACTTGAAACCCTGGAACCTATTTAAAAAACTCTTCAGTTGTTCCTGTCTTACTGCGTATGCATATACTCTTTTTTTGAAGGCTTTTAAGAGTATTTTAAAGGCTACATTCAAGCAGTTTGAGGGCTAGAATGAAATACGCATTCTGAGTAACTGAAATGTAAAGTATATGAAGGATGTAGGATTTATGATACAGGAAACAAAAAAGTTATTACCGTATTACTTCTTGTCCCATGACAATATTTGTTTTGCTACCTTGCAACAATTTCCAATGTCCTCCTCTTTTGCTCTGCTTAAGGACTAATTTAAGCAAAATCAGACTAACTCAGTTTGATCTTGATAGGACTACAGCTGTGGAAATATTCTTGCTTGTTTATAAAAAGGCACAAAGCCCTTCATAAATTAAATTCTGAGTGCCTATGCTGAACATCTGACAATTCACAAGTGGCTTTTTGCAGCTCTTGCATGATGATGGCTATTGATACATGTGTGTGTTGTTTTTTTATAGTGGAAGAATATAAGTGAAATCAAGGGCCCTATTGAGAAACAAGAAGCTTGTGAGAAATTGTTTAAAAATGAAGAGGAGGAGTATAGTCTCTATGAAGCGCTGAAATTTTTGATGCTTAACACTGCCATCAAATTATACAATGATGATAAAAATGGGAGGAGAGTTCCTGTCTTCTCATGGTTACTGTTTGCACGGGATACATCTAGCAACCCTTGTCAGTTAATGCATAATCACTTGAATCATATTGGTCACAGTGGAGGCCTTGAACAAGTAAGCAGAAATTCTTATAGTGTTATTTTCCTGTTTTGGAGACTTTAGTTTCAGGTGGTTTAAGAAATTACCCAGCTTTTGTTTGTTTGGCTAAATTTAATGGTGTAGTGTTTGGTCTTTCATTGGGAAAAATAATAGTAGAACCACTTGCTTGTAGTAAGACTCTGTAAAGGCCTTCCTTTTAAAGATCAATTTTTGTCTGGTGGTGGACACATAGGTAGCATTCTTTGGAAGTATGATATTCTATTAATAGTAACATTTGCATTAGTCTCTTATTTGTTAGCTTTTTTAAAAATACCATGATAAAAGCTAATACTCAAATTATGAAGAGAAGATCATGTGCAGTACATATACTTGGTGAATTCTGATAAACTAATGACAATTACTGCCTTATACGTTGCAGAAATGGTATACATATTACAAAAAAAGCCCCAAAACAAAATGTAGTGGTTAATGAGCTTGATAGTCTGAAAGATTTTAGAAACATCCATTTAAGAAAATCCCGCTGAATACATTACAAGTGTGGTACTGCAGGTAAATTTGCTACTTAATTATAGAAACTAGAAACACGCAAGTATTATGTTTTGTTTCTGTTCATTGGCTTAGAAATCTGATGACTGTAGTATAGATGAGACAGGTTGCTGTTATTGTTAAATTAGCTGATTCATTGGTGACTTTTTTGCTGCTCAGTTTAGTCAATAAATAAAGTTACCTATTCTTGTGCTGACTGGATTTACTTCTTTCAGTAATATTCTTTGTAAATTGTTATTTAGAACAGGATATGTTTACCACTGTAGTAGACAAGATAGAACATTTTCCAGCTTCTTTCTCTGAATTCCTTCTGATATCAACAGGCTTTGTAAGGGCTTTCCATACACTTTTTGTTTGGCTAGAGAGTTCAGAGTACCCTCTAAGAGGGAAAGGATTGTTGCCTGAAACCTGTTCTTGTCTGGTTCAGTGACTGAACAGGATGAATACTGATACAAGAGAACATCTTTCATACCTGTTTGTGGCAGTAGGGAAGTGGGATTCTCTGTATAAAGTAGCTTTTCCTTGGGACTGATATCCTACTATGCAATTGTTGGGTCTGAAGAGCTTCATGTTAAAGACATGGTATCTTAGTGGTATAAGATTGAGATATTGAACTAGAGATGCTCGTGTATATGCATTCTCACTTCATATTTTTTTCTTTGAAGAATTACATCTGATAGGTATTAGTTTAGTATTTTTATGAGAAAAATCTTGTAAAAGATATGTTTAATTTTACACATCATATTTCTGCTTTTTTCCAATGTAGGTGGAAATGTTTCTCCTTGCTTATGCTCTGCAGTATACCATCCAAGTGTATCGACTGTATAAATATAGTACTGATGAATTCATCACACTTTATCCCAATGACCCAGAAGAGGACTGGCCTGTGGTGACTCTCATAACTGAAGATGACAGACATTATAATATTCCAGTCAGAATGTGCCAAGAGACTATGCTGTAAACAAGTGATTTTTGGCAGACGAACCTGTCCTGCTTATTGAGGTTTCCAATGCTATTTTGAAACAGGATAATGATGAAATCTGCGTTACTAAATCTACACCAACTTGAAATCCGTCTTTTAGAAGTTTACATCTGACATAGAGTATCAAATAGATACTAGCTTAAAGAGTAAAATTTTTGCAAGTATGGCTTTTGTTGCCCATGAAAAAAAAATAAATGTCTGCAATACTTTTTTTGAAGGGCTTACTCTGAATAGGAATGCAAAAACTATAGATTTACCTCTTTTCTTAAGAAGATAGGTGGGGCTCTGTGATAAGATGTGAGCTGACCTTCTGCTCCCTGAAATAATGAGATAACGATGAGTTTAAATTTCTGGAAATGTAAGCTGGCAGTGTCGTGACTGATATTTGTCATACTGCTTAGAAGCAATTCGTACAAACCTTGGGTCTCAGGAAGCAGTATCATTCTTTTGCAGTTGGAATTTAATGCCTGCCATGGTTTATGCTATAAGAGAGATGTTATTTAAAGTTTTCTAATGCTTTGGGTTTTTTTCTGACATGAATATCTCTTATTCAGAAGCCAGTTGTCTGTTACACTGAAAACGAAGTGCTCTTCACCTTTCAGCCCCTTGAGAGGATCATGGCAAAGAGACTTGATAATAAGGGAGTATAAAAGTTGTTTGTTAGTAGGTCACAAATTACAAACCTACACAGAATTCTCTCTTCAGTTATGATAGCCAATATGAGAGAACCACGTGCCCACTAGATTCCATGTCTGGTCATGTTACTGTTCCTGTGATGTTAATCCTCACTGGTAGCTGCTGTGGAGAACATCAGGATTTTAATTTTTGCGGTAGATGGAAGTAAACTTCTGGTGCAACTTCACCACTTCTGGGAGGAGTATGTGGGAGGTTCTGCTTCTGCTTAGAATTATTCGTTATGCTTTAAATTGAAGGAATACAGAATATGCCAGATGCTGGGAGTGCTGACATACCTTAAAAAAATAATTAAATAATAAACCCATCACCTTTTAGCTTGCAGTGGAAGTATGCCCTACAGATGATTCTCAGAATAGGAGAGTGAAAGTTGATTTAAATGAAATGCTGGTCATACACAGATCACTTGGCTTCTCTTAGAAGGCCTTCTTATATAAAAGGGATAATATTATTATAAAAACTACTTCTCATTCAAATATTCTGGAGGAGATGACATGCAAAATTTCTGGCATGCAAAACTTCAAATTCTGTTATGTTCTATTTAAAATTAATTTGTTAACTTTTATTGTGAAAGGTAATTACACAATGAGAATGTGTATTCACCCTTCTAAAATGTGTTTTAGACCCATCTTAATGAGGTCTATCATGTACTCAGTATTATATTTATCATGTTGTCTTTGCCTTTTAAAACAACTGTTACTGAAAATTTCTGGGAGCTACAAGGGAATAAAAATAAACCAATTCATCTGGCAGTATTTTGTTTCTTGTTTTATGATCTATTTTCTCTCTAGCTTTATATTTTTGAGTTTTTAATTTTTAAATCCTTGTTCAAGTTGGTTATCTTGATGTCTTCTAATGGCGATACATTCTTGAGATTAAAACTTAATGCCTTTTTGAAAAAGACATCTTTGTCATACATTTAGAGCTCTGAAGTGTATGACGAAAGTGTCTAAAGCAGGGGCTCTTTAGGGGCTGATTTTGCAGCCATTAGGTATTTAAACAATTTACATAATTGGCATGTATGTTGAACTGAGAAGTTCAGGACTGAGCACAAGGTGCTTAAGTTGTGTGTTGTTCCTGCAGAAGTTGAGTAACAAACTGTAGAAAAACTGATGTTGCTTTGTATTTTCCGTCTGTATTTTGGAGGTAAGCAATGAGTCTGTACTGTGGTGTGCAGTATATTGATTTAACTTAAATAGAAAATCGACAGCTGCCAGTTTTTAATCTGGACTTATACAGTGGATACATGCTACTTTTCTGTTGGGTGCCCACTCCCTCATATTCGACTGAATGAACTGAAAGTGTCAATAAATTAAATGAGGTGGAAGTGAGGGATGGAAAAAGAAGAGGAATATAGGTCAAGTCAACTCTGCCCCCTGCCCCTCTGTCCATGAGTCTTACATGTGAATAAATTTATAATAGCTGCTGTACTTAAAGATGAAAGTACTAAAGGAGGCAGATGCTTTACTCAACACCTGGCATTCTTTGTTAGGTACAGTCCTGTTTTTTAATACTGTAACATGCGAGCAGGAGTTAGTAGAGATGAAGAAAGCTGACTCTAACTGTTGGTGTGCTTTTTGCGCAAAAAAGACTGTGTCCTCTTTAGGCCCATCCTTTTTTTTTTCTTTTATTCCTGGTTTAACATCATTATTATGTTCAACTTCTGCTCCCTCTGTGCTTTTTGGAGAAGGAGGTGAGTGTTCACTCTGTCCTTCAGAACAATTTTAGCATATTTTCAGGTACTAAATAGAAACATCCTGCTTTCTCTTATAGTGCTTTGACTTGGGCTATCTGATTGCTTTTCAGAAAGCATTTAAGTATGTGTTTTTCACTAAAAACACTTGTGGCCTACACAAAGCTTTCATTTTGCCTTTCTTCAGTCTCCTATTAAGAACGATGTTATAAAGTTAAGAGATACTTATCTTCCAGCATCCTTTCTGTTGATGCAAGTGTACAGCAGAAGTCCTTTGTGTGAAGGAAAAGAGAGGTTCAGGTGATCTTGCTGGGCTGGGAGGAGGGGAACGAAATTGCCTTGTACTATGTGGGAATAGTTGGCTGTGGGTAGAGAGATGTGCTGAGCTGGCACTGCAGCAGGGCAGGTACCAAAGCTTAGGCTGGGTACAGCTGCAAGAAGCTTGTGCTGGAACCAGCCTGATGGTGTCTTGTGGGAGCTCAGCCTGGGACCTGGCTGCCTGGGGAGATGCAGGGGTGTTTGGTTCAGGACTGTAACTTCACTCAGATAGTTGAATCAAAGCTTGACCAAATCTTGGCCAAGTTTATTTTCCTGTGGCAACAACAGCCCTATCATCAAAAACTAGTGAAGAAGGGTGAAGAGCAAGGTGGGAACTTGTATCTCACGAGAATGGCAAATGTGGTCGTATATCCCATTTTAGGTGTTAGAGGAAGTGGGGAGAGGGAGCTCTTGCATTGTGTATCAAGTGCGGGGTTTAATTCATGATCTCATGTCCCTAATATTTAATAGTGTCAGTTGTGTAGCCCCTGCACCTTCTTGTCTTCTGGACATAATTGCCATTTGTTCTCCCAGTATGCTATCCGGCAGGATAGGACCAAGAATGTTTGAAGATGGCCAAATGTACTTTATGAACGCTCACTTTTTTGGTAATGGTGGAAGATGACAGGTGGCACATTCTGGAAGCTTGCTGCTAGATGAATAACTGTGCTATGACATTGACTAACGTGCTTCAAGCTAGAGGGATTCAAAGAAGATTTCCATTTATAAATTTCTTGAGGAGGAGAACCTCAACTTCTGAGAAATGGAAAGGAAATATTATTAATTCCACAGAGATGAAAGTGAGGTAGGGAAGGTTTAGAATGGTAGAGGCCTCTCAAGGAAAGCGGCTCTCTAGTCTCATTTCCCCAGAGCACTCATTTCTGTATGGGTGCTGGTGAGTTGCCCGCCCTTCTATTCACAACTTCTATTTAAGTTGATGAGACGGCAAAAAACCACCCCGAGATGTACTGAGCCATTGAAGAACTAGGTGTTTTATCAGGGCCGTCAGGTGAATACTGTGGCATGCCAAGGAAGCAATGGCACACTGAATGTAGTCGCCAGCTCTCTCCTCCAGAGGATTGTCTGCCTGATTTACCCCTTTTTGGAACTGTGGGGTTTGGGGTTGTTTTTTTAGACGCCTACCCACCAGGCCTTTAACGCGATGCATTTCCTTGGGGCTGTCGCAGCAGGGAGCTGCTGCAGGGACTGCCGTAGGGAGCCTCTGCCCGTGCTCTTCGGCGTCAAACTTTGTCTGACAAAAAAAAATAATTCGATTGAAAAAAAAAACCCCTGCAAACCCCTCATTTTATAGAAATTATGTTATTATGTAGGCTGAATGTGGTAGGTACTTCTTTTTTTTTTTTTCCCCTCTCACTTTTCTCGGGTCAGATAATTCTGCAAGTGTTTGTGGCTTGCTGGAATGGGACAGAATTTACGCACTGCCCTTGTTAGATCTGTTGTGCACCCACCCATCCTTTATTAAAAAAAAAAAAAAAAAAAAAAGAAGAAGAAGAAGAAAAGCTGCTACAATAATTACGAAACTAACATCATCCTTCTCAAACAGTCGCCTTGTGTTTCACAGAACACTCACTGGAAATGTTCACTTTCAGGCCCACAGCCGGCCCCGGTACGTAGCCTTGGTGTTTCAGCGGCTTTGCCGGAGCTGACCCTGCGGCGGGAGGTGTTTGCCGGGAGGTGTCGCTGCAGGCGAGGGGAGCGCGCGGGCCCGGCCGCTGGCG